TTTTACAAAAAATTGACCCTATAAATATCAAATTACAAAATTACTCTTAATAGGCATTTTAGTAATTTCACAACTTTCAATGTACAATCAAGGTTTTCAACAACATAAAAATCATCAAATAATTTCAAAACATGATCTAAGGCATTTCACAAAAATCTAGCCTTAGGAAGGTCAAATTATGAAAATACCTTTTAGGGTATTTTTATAATTTCACACCTCTCAAGGTGTGATATGGGTTTCCAATGCATAAGAAATTCTCAAAAAATATTTAATTATGATATGAAAATATTCACTACAATTTGTCTTTGAGAAGGTCAAAATACAAAAATACTCTTAAAAGGTATTTTGGTAATTTTACGCTTTTGAAATGCAATCAAGGTTTCTAGTGCTTTAAAATTACAAATTTCAATTTTAATTGACATTGGTTCCATTTTGAATATCACAAATTCATCCAAATCCAAAATTCACCCTTGTTTTTGTTTCAAGGATCAAACTTTCACCCTTGGATCAAGATTTCTAATGTGATCCAACGGTCTAGATTGTTTACTGCCAAATATGTACTTTTCAAAATTCTTAGATCACATGAAAAGGCCATTTCACCCTTAATACAAAATTTTCAATCTTTAAGCTATTTTCTTGGAAATTAAAGTTCTCATGTTCACTTTTATGATTTTAAAGTACAAAAAATATGAAATAATATGAGACTAAAATCTAAAAGGTTTCATGAAAATTTGACTATAGGAAAGTTAAATTACGAAATTACCACTAAGAAGTATTTTGGTAATTTTGCACCTTTCATGATGCTGCTATGGTTTTGAATGTACAAAAAATTATGAAATATTTAAAAAATATAATCTGAAAAGTTTCGTAAAAAATTGACCTTGGGAAGGTCAAATTACAAAATTACCTTTAAGGGGTAATTTCACACCACCTAAAGTGTGATCTCAATTTTTAATGCATCAAAAATCCTAAAAAAAAATTCAACTATGATCTAAAAATTTTCACAAAAATTTAACTTTAAAAAAGTTAAATTACGAAAATACTCCTAATGGTATTTTGAAAATTTTATGTTTTTCCGAAATGCATTTAAGGTTTTTAGTGCTTTAAAATGATAAATTATTGTCACAAATTCATCCAAAGGTCCAAAATTCTCCCTTGTTTTTGTTTCAAGTAGCAAACTTACACCCTTGGATCAAGATTCCCAATGTGATCCAACAGTCCATATTGTTTACTACCAAAGATGTGATTTTGATAGCTTTTGAATCAAGCGAAAAGATCATTTTACCTATAATATAAAGTTTTTGGTGTTTAGGCCATTTTCTTTATAAGTTGATACTTTTGTGTTCATTTTTTGTGATTTTAAAGCACTAAAAATCATAAAATAATATGAAACTAAATTTGAAAAGTTTTGTAAAAATCTAACATCGGGAAGGTCAAATTACAAAATTACCTCTAATAAGTATTTTGGTAATTTCACACCTCTTGAGGTGCTACCATGATTTTAAATGCCCCAAAAGTCATCAATATTTTAAAAGCATGACCTAGAAAGTTCACAAAAAATCGATTTTGAGAAGGTCAAATAGCCAAATTACCTTTAAAGGGTATTTTGCTAATTTCACATCTTCCAAGGCATGATCAATGTTTTCAAATTCTAAAAGTCATCAAATAATATCAAACCATGATCTAGAGCATTTTGTAAAATTTCAACCTTAGAAAGGTAAAATGACAAAAATACCCCTAAAGGTATTTTTGTAATTTCACACCTTTTAAGGAGTGATCTAGGTTTTTGATGAATCAAAATCCTAAAAAAAATTCAATTATGATCTATAAATTTTCATGAAAATTTAACTCCAAAAAAGTCAAATTACAAAAATATTGCTAAAAGATATTTTGGTAATTTTATCCTTCTCAAAGTGCAATTAAGGTTTTTAAAGCTTTAAAATTACAAAATTCAATATTAATCCACATTGGTTCCAATTTGATTGTCACAAATTCATCCAAAGCTCCAAAATTCACCCGTGTTTTTATTTCAATGAGAAAATTTTCACCTTTAGATCAAGATTCCCAATGTGATTAATGGTCTAGATTGTTACTGCCTAAGATGTAATTTTGAAAGATTTTGGATCAGATGAAAAAACCATTTTGCCCATAAAACAAAGTTTTCATTCTTTAAGCCATTTTTTTTAAAATCGATGCTTTTATGTTCATTTTTGTGATTTTAAACCACTAAAAATATGAAATAATATGAAAATAAAATCTTAAAAGCTTCATGAAAATTAGACATCAAAAAGGTTAAATTACGAAATTATCCTATTTTGGTAATTTCACTCCGCCCAAGGTGCTGCCATGGTTTTGAATACTCCAAAAATCATCAAATATTTTAAAAGCATGATCTGAAAAATTTTGCAAAAGACTAACCTCGGAAAGGTTCAATTATGAAATTATCCTTAAGGGATATTTTGGTAATTTCATACCTTCTAAGGTGCGATTAAGGTTTTCAAAATTTTTAAAATTATCAAATAATATCAAACCTTGGTTTGGAACATTTCACAAAATTTCAATCTTGAGAAAGTCAAATTATGAAAATACCCCTAAAGGTATTTTTGTAATTTCACACATCTCAATCTGTGATTTGAGTTTTTATTGCATAAAAATTTTCAAAAATATGCAATTATGATTTGAAATTTTTCATATTTGAAAACTTTCATGAAAAGTCGACTCTGAGAAAGTCAAATTACGAAAATACTTCTAAAAGATAGTTTAGTAATTTTACACTTCTCGAAATGCAATCAAGTTTTTCAATGCCTTAAAATCACAAACTTCAATCTTAATCCACATTAGTTCCAATTTCATTCTCACAAATTCATCTAAGGGTCCAAAATTCACTTTTGTTTTTGTTTCAAAGAACAAACTTTCACCATTGGATCAAGATTCCCAGTATGATCAACGATCCAAATTATTTACTACTAAAGAAGTGATTTTTAAAGCTTTTAGACCAAATGAAAATATTATTTTGCCCTTAATACATAGTTTTCAATCTTCAGGCCATTTTTTTCAAAATCGATGCTTTCATATTCTTTTTTGTGACTTTAAAGCACCAAAAATCATAAAATAATATGAAACTAAAATCTAAAAAATTTCGTGAAAATTTGACATGAGAAATGTCAAATTATAAAATTACCCTTAAAGGTTATTTTGATAATTTACACCTCCCAAGGTGCAGTGATTGTTTTGAATGCTCCAAATATCATCAAATATTTTAAAAGCATGATTTAGAAAGTTTTGTGAAAATTCAACCTTGGAAAAATCAGATCACAAAATTATCCTTATAATGTATTTTAGTAATTTCACACATTCTAAAATATGATCAAGGTTTTCAAATCATAATCTAGAACATTTTGTGAAATTCTGACCTTACAAAGGTTAACTAACAAAAACACCTCAAGGGTATTTTTGTAATTTCACATTTTTCAAGGTGTGACCTAGTTTTTAATGTATAAAAAATCTTTAAAAAAATTCAATTATACTCTGAAAATTTTTATAAAAATTTGACTTTAAGAAGGCCAAATTATGAAAATATCTCTAAATGATATTTTGGTAATTTTACCCTTCTCAAAGGGCAATCAAAGTTTTTAGTGCTTCAAAATCACAAATTTCAATCTTAATCTACATTTGTTCCAATATGATTATCACAATTTCATCTAAGGGTCAAAAACTCACATTTGTTTTTGTTTTAAAGAATAAATTTTCATTCTTGTATCAAGATTCCTAATGTAATCCCAAGGTCCAGATTATTTACTGGCAAAGAAGTGATTTTTAAAGCTCTTGGATCATGTAAAAAGACCATTTTATTCCTATTACAAAGTTTTCAATTTTTAGAGTATTTTCTTGGAAATCGATAGTCCTGTGTTCATTTTTGTGATAGAAACTACAAAAAAATCATGAAATAATATGAAATTAAAATATAAAAAATTTCGTGAAAATTCGACATTGAAAATATCAAATTACGAAATTATCCTTAAAGAATATTTTGATAATTTCATACATCTCGAAAGTGCAGTCATAGTTTTGAATTTACAAAAAATTATCAAATATTTTAAAAGTATGATATGAAAAGTTTCACAAAAAATCGATCTTGGGAAGCTTAAATTACGAAATTACTTTTAAAAGGTATTTTGATAATTTCACACCTTTTAAGGTGCAATCAAAATTTTTAAAATTCTAAAAATCATCAAATAATAGCAAACTATTCTTTAAAGCATTTTGCGAAATTTCAACCTTAAGAAAGTTTAATTATGAAAATATCTTTAAAGGTATTTTTATAATTTCACACCTCCGATGGTGTGATCTAGGTTTCTAATGCATCAAAAATCCTAAAAAAATTCAATTATGATTAGAAAATTTCAACAAAAATTTGACTTCGAGAAGACTAAATTATGAAAATACCATCAAAGTGTATTTTGATAATTTTACTTATTCGAAATGCAATAAAGTTTTTAATACTTTAAAATCATAAACTTCAATTTTAATCCACACTGGTTCCAATTTTATTGTTACAAATTCATCCAAGGATCCAAAATTCACCTTTATTTTTGTTTGAAATAGCAAACTTTTACCTTTGGATCAAAATTTTCAATATGATCCAACATTCCAAATTGTTTATTATCAAAGATATGATTTTTAAAACTTTTGCATCAAGTAAAAATATTTTTTTACCTCAAATATAAAGTTTTCAATCTTTAAACTATTTTCTTGAAAAATGAAGCTTTTGTGTTAATTTTTGTAATTTTAAAACACAAAAAAATTATAAAATTAAAATTTAAAAAGTTATGTGAAAATTTAATCTCCTAAAAGTCAAATTATAAAATTTTTTATTTTTGTAATTTTATACTTTCGAAAATGCTTCATAATTTTGAATACTATAAAAATCATTAAATATTTTTAAAATATAATATGAAAATTTTTCAAAAAAAATCGATTTCGAAAATATTAACTTACGAAATTACGTTTAAAAATAGAATGATCATTATGGCTTTTGACTCAATTGCAATTGGTTGGCGATATTTAGACGATAGGCTTACATCTCTGGTGATCTAAGTTCAGGTAACTCGCTCTTCCATAACCACTCATGCTTGCCGCTGTCTTAACTTCTCTCATTCCTTTATCTTCTTCCTTGAACTCAAACCAAAATCCTTCCAAAACCCTAAGAGGAAATCCCTCTTTTAACAAAAATTTTGAATTCTCTATCTCGGAAAACCCCAATAATGGCCCCATTAAGATGCCTACAGCTCCGTGGATGAAGGCTCCTCTCCTTCTCCAACCCCGTGAAATGTTAAACCTTTCAAAACCCACCACCAAAAAGGGCTCAAACAGAAATGCTAAGGCACCTGACAAGGCATTGTTTGGTAAGGAAAGTGGGGTTAGAGGGAAGAAAGTGACAAAAAAGATCATTAGAAACGTGGAAAAGCTACAAAGAAATGCTGTTTTGGAAGATACCCAGATTGGGATTTGTGAAGAATTCGAGCTGGGGAATTGGTTGGAGGAGATTGGAAGAGATGGAGAAGCGAAGAAATATGATGCAAAAATTCCTTGGTTGAGAGAAGAAGAGAAAGTTATGTTTAGGAGGATGAAAAAGGAGAAAGTTTTGACTCAAGCTGAGATTAGTCTTGATGAGGATTTGCTTGAGAGATTGAGAAGGAAGGCTATGAGGATGAGGAAATGGGTTAAGGTGATGAAAGCTGGTGTAACTCAGGCTGTTGTTGATGAGATAAGGTTGGCTTGGGGGAAGAATGAGCTTGTAATGGTGAAATTTGGCGTCCCTTTGTGTAGAAATATGGATAGAGCAAGAGAAATTGTTGAGGTTTGTTTTCTGTTGATTTCTTTTGCGTTTTTGTTTTCTTGAGGATTCTTCTTTTTATTGATAGTTTTTTGTTTTATGTTAGAAGTTTCAAGGCTGTTTATTGTTGGTCATATATCTTTTATAATTTGAAAAGGTTACAATATGTTTAGAACCAAATGAAAATAGGATTCATTACAATTCAATTCTAGAAAAGAATACTTGATAGGAATATTCATGTATTAAGGAAGAGTATTATTGTATGAAAGGGTATTTTAAGGTAACATTTTCTCTCTTCATATGCAAATAATAATAATTTTTATGTGTTTTTTAATGATTAGTCGATTATAAATAATCATTTAAGATTATTGTTTGTTATGTTTCAAACATAGATAAATCGGCAGATTTTGGATATAACCATATCAAACTTTCTGATGGTTAAATCTTTTCATAACAGATGAAGACTGGGGGCTTGGTTGTATGGAGCAAGAAAGATATTCTGGTTGTATACAGAGGTTGGACTTGGATACATGGGCTGACTTCAAAATTTTCTCTAATGGAGTATTCATCATGTTTTGCCAATGGTCAAGAAATATCTTCATCTGCAGTCAGTCGCCTTACTTCAGGCAATACTATTAATATGTCTCAAGAAAAATCTAATCTACGTGCTTTGGGGAGAAGTTTGTATAGAGAAGACAGAGAAAAGGAGTCTACGCCAACCAGCATCTATATCAAAGGAGATGAAAATAACCGAACAGTTGTTGGGTCATTGTATGAGAGAGAAACTGATAGATTATTGGATGGTTTAGGACCTCGCTTTATTGACTGGTGGATGCGAAAGCCACTACCAGTTGATGCAGACTTGCTTCCAGAAGTGGTTCCTGGATTTAGGCCTCCATTAAGGCTTTCTCCTCCAAACACTAGATCAAAATTGAATGAAGCAGAGTTGACATATTTGAGAAAGCTTGCTCATCCTTTACCTTTTCATTTTGCTCTTGGTACCACCTTGTCTATTGTAAACTTATTGGCTAGAATTTACACATGCACCTCAGTGTTGGCATGGGCATTTGTGCATTGTGGTAGACATATGGCATATGCATGTATTATTCCTACCATTAAGTAACTACCATAGACAATAAGGGAAGGGAAAATAATCTAGTCTATCTGGAAAAACATTTGCCTCTGTAATTACTGAGAAGTTATTTTGAGGGTAAATCTGCAATTCCACATTATACATTAGTACTAATTCATTGACAACACTCTTGATGTTTTAAATTTTGTATAACAAATGATGTACTGGGCTATGCTCGGCTGCTTTGTGTTTCACTAATGTTTGCACTTTTCAAAATTCTTGATTCTGGTTTCTTCTTCTTGCTGAAGGGAGGAATAGGAACCTTGAAGGCTTGGCTGCTGCTATCTTGAAATTATGGGAAAAAAGTCTCATAGCAAAGATTGCTATAAAATGGGGGATTCAAAATATTGACAATGAGCAAATGGCATATGATCTCAAGGTAAGTCTATAATTCTTTTGACCTGTTTAACAATCATGGTCTCTTAAGTTTGCTCTATTTATTAAAAACATGGGCAAATCTGTGTTTATATGGTCAACAAACTTGATTTGTGCCATCACTAAGTTGCATCAGGGTGGTTTAAGTGTCATGTCTTTAGAGAACAATATGATGGACCTCTTTGTGAGCCTGACTTGAAATTCTTTTGGTTTAAGGATAAAAATTTTCTGATCAATCCCATGCTTGAATCCATGATATTATTGGGTACAGTGGCTCTGATAGCATTGCTATTATGATTTGATCATAAAAAACCCTGTGTAGGTGAATTTAGGACTTTATTGAAACTAAGGCTCTTGGAAGGTTCACTGGTAGCCTTCCATGCCTTGCAATCTGGTATGGCCCTATCAGCATGACATGCATGCACATTTATGCTTGCCATTTATGATTATGAACAGCTAAATATATTAAATTTACGATGACTAATACATCTGATTATGCAGAATCTCACGGGAGGAATTTTGTTATTACGCAATAAGTTCCTAATAATATTTTATAGGGGTAAGGATTTCCTTCCTCAAGGTGTTGCTAATTTGGTAGTTGAGAGAGAAATGGCACTCAGAAGATGCCAACTTAATGAAGAAGGTGCTAGAGTGAAAGTGGCTGAAACCTTTCAGGTTGCTGATGAACCTTTGGCTAAGAGTAGCACTGTAGGAACTTTATCAGAATTTCATGATATCCAGGCGAAATTTGGAGACCTGGAAAAAGAAAATAATGAACTTGAACTTCAATTGGAAGCTCAAAAGGAAAACTTAGAGAGGGAATTGAGGAACCAAGAACGCAAGCTTTCAATTGTAAGATCCCTTCCTCTTTGTTTTTTTTTTTTTACTTGTTCTGAATCATTAAACCTCCTACACCATTTTCACCTGTTTAAACTTGTCGCTTTCATGCTTAACATCATATTGTTTCATTTGGGAGTGCTGTTTGCTGACACAATCTTATTTCACTTTGCAGCTTAACATAAAGATAGAGAAGTCAGCTAAAAAGCTAGCAAAGTTGAATTCTTCGTGGCAACCTGCTGAGCTGGATGTGGATCTTGAAATAATTGCTGAGGAGGAGAGAGAATGCTTGCGGAAGATAGGACTGAAACTCCATAGTTGCTTGGTACTTGGTAAGGGAAAGACTGCTCTTCTAGTTGCCAATTGAATCTTTTTTTCTTTCAAATCTATTGATTGAAAATTTTTGATAGCTTTTATGCTGATATTTCCACCATCTAAATTCAGCGATCTTGCCCAGATATCAGTTTCTCTCTCTCTTGATTTATCTTTTGTTTAAATATGTTCAGGTCGGCGTGGGGTCTTTAATGGCGTCATAGAAGGAGTACATCAACATTGGAAGCACAGAGAAGTTGTCAAGATAATCACAATGCAGAGAGTGTTTGTACGAGTCATCCATACTGCAAAATTGCTTGTAGCAGAGAGTGGTGGGATTTTGGTTTCAATTGAGAAGCTAAAAGATGGCCATGCTATAATCATATACCGAGGAAAAAATTATCGACGCCCTTTGAAGCTAATGACTGACAATCTTCTAACTAAGAGGGAAGCATTACAAAGGTCTATCGAATTGCAGAAAATTGGAGTAAGCTCCTTTTATCTTTTTTCTTCTCTCTCACAAGTTTACTGCTCTTACCATTCTACAGAAATTTTCTGTTTAATCTCTTTGTCCATTGTGCGTTTCTAGGCTGAAACATGATCTCTTTCTGTTTTTTTTTTTGGTATCAGTCATTGAAGTTTTTTGCTTACCAACGACGACAGGCAATCTTAGATTCGGAACTCAAACTGGTAAGGATAAAGTTTTTTATTCTCATCAGTGATACACCTACATCTTAAAATAGCTTGTGAAACCTTGTAAACTCCAGTAAAGCAAAGCTTACCCATATTTTCTTATTTACCTTTTAAACTGATGTACTGAAACTTTAGGCCGAGCTAAAGAAAAGAAGAGTTGGTACTCTGCAAGGGTGGCAAGCTGCTGACTAACAGATGTTCTATGAATTGTGATGTACACTGGAAGTTTCTACTGTAATCAATCATCAATATTATTTGACGATGGCTCTTGGTATCTTGCAAATTGAAAATTTTGAATTATGTAATATTCCATTTTTGGGTCTTGATTCAAGTTTATTATGTATGCAGGCAAAAATGGAGAAAGACTCCTGGATGAGATGGTTGCACGTGCTTGTGTGCATCACTATAGTAACAGTGTAGCAAGTTAGCCAAGCTCTTGACTGCCCATCCTGGGGAAATTCAGACAAGATTTCTTTCTACTTCTTGTAAGTGTTGATTCAGACATTTTAAGCTTGAGATGGTACACAGAAAAAACAGTTGCAAACACTTATTCAGGTGATGATCTAACACGATATCCTGAATCCAAGGCAGGACTGGTCAGCCCTGATTATGCCACGTGTTCCTCAATGGTGTTACACCTTATTCCCATATAGTCGTGCAGCCAATTGATTTTTCTTACTTGGTTGAAGTCACTAATTAGTCAATATCCGGTGCAACTTATGGACTAGCAGGGGTTGGTGTGCAGGTTTCTATCTGCATGGTTCATGTTGAAATGCTACAGTTGAGAGGACAGTATCTCAGTTATCCATTCTGGCACTCAAGTACATTTGTTCCACTTCCAATCATGGTAGCCACTGAATAATCGTGATATAACACCAGATCCACAAACTGAGCTGAATCTGACAGTGGACTATTTGAGAAGCTTTTGGCATCTCTTAGATGGCATGCTTTTGGTGCAGGAGTAGATTTTCAACATTTAGTGGCATTAAGTAGTGAGCTAGAACAATGAACAACATTCCTATTTAGAGAAGCAATTTCAGGAATGACACTTCAACTTTCATCTAGGACAAGAATTGCACTCCTACTTGGAGAAGCACATGTGAAGAAAATTGATATCCCATCTTTATGCTGTAACAGTTAGCTTCAGTTGCACATTTCTCGTATATTTCTAACTAGTTCAAAGTTAACCTGTTGACAATCTTGCTATCGTTTGTTGCCTGCGAAAAACACAATGCCACTAAATGACAATGGTTAATAATTATTTGGATTAAGTATAACTAATTTTGATGTAAGGGATACGTCATTGCCTTGTAGACAGAATAATCAGAGCGTAATTTTCCTGGATTCTTGGGTCCTCTGCTTACCCGCTATGTAAAGATTAATTTATGATTTAGTTAGGTTCATTTGATTGGTATATGGTTCTGATGCTTTAATTATTCATGCAATATTACTATTATTATTGTTGACTCTGGCATGACTGTTATTACGCTTCACAATTCTAATCCATTCCTCAACATATTGGAGAATGTTTGCATCACAGGATTATCACCTTCTGGCCTCATTTATTCTTATTATGAAATGAGAAAAAGGGAGAGGGATGGAAATTGAAGGAATAGGTTGATGAACTATGAACTTTGAAGTTGCAGATGATTCCTGTAGGAAGATAAAGTGGCTTCTCAATCTTCCATTTGGTTGTTATGATATTGGTTTAGTCAGTCTAGTTTGATAGCTACAAAAAAGATATCACAAGAAGAAACTTGGTTTGCATGAGTGTTTCTGAATTCATTTACTAAGAATAGCTGTTTTATTATAGTAGGAATGTGGCATTTCTGCCATAGATGTAGGCAATGGCTCTAACATATAAGGTGCATTTCCATGAGAAGATGGTCCTTGTATTGGTTCTTCATAATTGATATGTTAGTTTGCAATCACTCTATCTCCTCTTTGGCTGGAAGTCGTCTTTTACTTATACAGCTTGCTTTAAATCTTCTTGATAAGTTCGTCGATACATTTCTGTTTATGATCCTTCTAGCAGCTCAAGTATCAGTAAGAAGCTTGCATACCTTACTTTTCCATATTTTGATTAATTGCTCATAAGATTCTCATTATGTTTTGTCAGTAATTGTTTCAAATGGCAAGCAGAAGTGTTTCTGGAGGAAGGATATATGGCAGTGGGGGTTTTTGTTGATTGTAAGCATTGAATTTTGTCTTTGTATGCAGCTTGATTTCACTGTCTTGATAGCCCAGCAAAGCACACGGGTCATGCTCGGCCCAGCCCGGTTGCTTCACAGCGTGTCTAGCCAAGCACAAACCACACCTTTTCGAGCCATATCATGCCATTAACTGCCCGGCCTATATGACACCTTAACCTGTATAGCTTGCGTGTAAATCTACTTGATAAGATAGTCGATACTTACACCGTTTAAGATCTTTCATGCATACCTTATTTTTCCATATTTTGATTTATGTTTCTCAGTAATTGTTTCAAATAGTAAGCATGAGTGTTTATATATGGAAGTTGGGGTTTTCGTTGATTGTTGGCATTGTTAGTATTGAATTTCGTCTTTTTATGCAGCTTGATTTCACTGTCTTTGATAGGTGTCGCTTTTACTTAGTAAAGGTTCTTTTATTGCTCTAACCTCAATACGATCAGCTTATTTATATATCCATTTTCCAAGGATTGGCTCTCAATCGATATGGATGTTGACCGCTGTCTTATATGCAAACTTATTATATACCATAAGAACTTGCATAGCTAACCGGCCATATGATTTCTAGCTGGGAGTGCATAAAATCAGTACCTGCAGGCTGAAAAATGAAAGAAAAAAGAAAATGAGAAAAACAAAAAATTTAAAGAGCCGACATAATATTCTTTGGTGATCACCTTCCATTTGATATAACTAACAGTTGTTTTGCCGCCTTGTTCTAATATAAGTAGTAAACATGCCTCCATTCAGTTTCTTAAATGCTTCTTGATTAATGCTTATTGCTGTTAAGAATTTTGTCTCCAATAGGAATATTGACTCCAAGCAGTTCCCGAAGGCAAGTTTGTTCCAAGGGTTTGAACGGTGCATAGGGGTTCTCTCTAATTTTAATTAATCCCTGAAGTTTGAAATTTATTAGATTCTTGAAATATATCCAAATTCAACTTGCAAATAGCAGAACATATATTGGAGACTGTAACCAGATATTTGACAGCCATGAATTTAGTACTGAATATGATTTAAGTTCACTAGCTGGGTCTGATTACACATACTTTTTTTCATACACTAGATGAACTATATTCATTGTCATCCATGTGAGTTGATCGTGTGAGCAAAGATGCTGCTTACGAGTTTTTAGGTGATCTTGGAGGAGAAAACAGGAAAGGTGTTGGTGGAATTGACAGATTCAATGCTTCCTTGTAACATCTCTTTGCCTTCGTAATTGATGGTCGATCCGATGGATTACTTTGAATGCACCCCAAACTCACTATGATCATCTTTCTCGTTAGTTCTTCATTTTCAATTGTCATTTCTTTAAGTTTCAAATTTGCTTCTTTCAGTCGCCTGTAAATCCATAAAGAAAAATTCGCTTTACTAGTAGGATTATGAATATTTTCTTTTTCTCCAACCATTTCAAGGACTATCATCTCATAGCTATAAACATCGGATGTGAGAGATTACTCTGAAACTTTGGCAAAATACCTCCAGAGCAATATATCCAATAGTTCCTCTAGCATTTATGGTAGAAATAGTACTATCCTTCCACTCAAATAATTTTGCAAGATCGAAACCGAATTTTTGTGGCAAAATCTCTCATCTAGGGGGATATTGTGCGGCTTTATGTCAAAGTGTAAAATCCTAGTGTTACAACCTTGATGTAAGTATTCTAATCCTCTAGCAACGCCGATTGCGATGTCATACAATGTTTTCACCTCTAGTTGATGGGATTTATCCGGAGATGTTCAATGGCAAATGAATTTATCCAACCAGCCATTGGGCATGAATTCGTAGATTAGATCTCTTATTGAGATCTCACAGCTGAAACCGACGAATGCCACTATATTGGCTTGGGAGGTTCTGCTAATGCTAGCTACTTCATTAACAATTTCCTTTCCACTTACCTTGGATTCACTGCGGACTTTTACTGCAACCAATCGGCCATCAGGTAATTTACCTTTATAAAGAAAACTCCAACACAGATTATTTATGTATTTCTTGTTCTGTTGGCAATCATACCAGAAAGGGAATCATTTTCACTCCATAGAAACCCAAAGCCATTAGCAAGGGTCACACGCAGAGTTGCTGAACTTGGGTTGTTTTCCAAAACCTGTAAAATTGAAGTAAATGCTGGAAGAATAACACTGCTACGACATGATCTCAACGTATCCTTTGCTGCAGTTGAGAGGTTGTAAAAGGCAGATGTGGCCACGAAGTAGCCCATGATGTCAGTTCCATTCTTGGTGCAATTGAACTGATGATTTGAAAGTCCTATCAACTGATTTGCATTCGTTGGACAATCATAATAAAGTGTTATGTTCTTGGTACTCGGAGCTGTGTGGAAAGGGCTAAGATTCGAAAAGGTGTTGACGAGGTGCCGGGGACAAAACACATTATAAGAACTATCCATTGGAGCAACATTGAAAGATCGAAGGGACAAATTGAATACAAGAACTAGGTAATTTTGTGAACTAACTGTAATCGTGGGATTACCACCCTCACAGCATAACTCACATCCCTGTTCGCCACAATACTCTGGCCTACCCCGTTGCCGAAGAGGATAACCGAGCTTTTGGATGATTCCACAATGAAATAGTTTGTTGTATTCTAGGGATTTTCTTATCGTCGCTGCTGAACAAACACACCAAACTTGTATAGACAAAAAGATTGTGAGTAGCCTAGCAAGGGGAAGGATCCTGAAACCTTGAGACATATTTGCAGCAAATTAAAGGCAAAAATAAATATAAAAGTTTGAAATAATTTTTGAAATATTAATTAATTAGTATTAATTTATTTTGAATAAACTTGTTTGAATTGAAACAATTATTTTATGATTAAACAAAATGTCAGAATGATTTAAAGTATATAATTATTCTAATAGTCTTAACCATTTGAAATGATTCGATAAATAAATTTATTTTTTAAATATCTTACTTATTAGATTTTGAAATATTATGAAATTAGTATTATTAATAAGCTTGTATGAATAAAATAATTATTTTATGACAAAAGAAAAAGTTATAATGATGAAATAGATAATCATTCATATAATCTTAAATATTTGAATAGGTTTGGTAATTAGATTTATTTTTTAATTTTTTTTTGGTTATCAAGTTTCGGAACATTATTAAATTTGCATTATTTTATTTCAAACAATATAGTATAGATAGAACTAATTATTTGATGACAAAATAAAAAGTTATAATAATTTGAAATAGATAATTATTCAAATAGTCAAAACTATTTGAATTGGTTTGTCAAGTAGATTTACTTTTTAAATCTCTTATTGATTAATTTTTCAAATATTAATAAATTAATATTATTTTATTTCGAATAAACTTATATTAACAAAAATAATTATTTTATGATAAAACAAAAAATAATAATGATTATGCAAATAGTTATAATTATTTGAACCGGTTTTGTAAATAGAATTATTTTCTTAATCTCTTACTTATAAAATTTTCAAATATTAATAAATTAATTTTATTCTAATCCGAATAAGCTTGTATAAGTTGAAATAATTGTTTTATGACAAAACAAAAAGTTATAAATATTTGAAATAAATAATTATTCATATAGTCTTAATTGTTTGAACTAGTTCGGTAAACGAATTTATTTTTTAAATCTCATAATTATTAATTTTCAGAATATTACTAAATTATTATTATTTTATTTTGAATAAACTTATATGAATAGAAATAATTATTTTATGATAGAACAAAGGTTATAACAATTTGAAATAGATAATTGTTCAAATAGTTATAACTATTTGAACTGGTTCAGCAAATAAATTTTTTTTTTAAATCTCTTATTAATTCTTAAAATATTAATAAAGTAGTATTATTTTATTTTGAAAAAGCTTGTATGCTAAAAAATAATTGTTTTATGACAAAACAAAAGGTAATAACAATTTAAAATAGATAGTTGTTTAAATGGTTATGATTATTTGAACTGATTGGATAAATTAATTTATTTTTTAAATCTTTTGCTTATTAATTTTGAAAATATTAATAAAGTAGTATTATTTTATTTTTGATAAGCTTTTATAAAATAAAACAATTATTTTATGACAAAACAAATGGTCATAAGGATTTTAAATCAATAATTGATGAAATAGTTATAACTATTTGAACTTGTTCTGTAAACAGATTTATTTTCTCAAATCTCATGTTTATTAATTTTTTGAATGTCAATAAATTAGTATTATTTTATTCCAAATAACTTTGTACGAACTGAAATAATTATTATATGACTAAATAAAAAGTTAAAATGATTTAAAATAGATAATTACTCTAATAATCTTAACTATTTAAACTGGTTCGACAAACCATTTATTTTCTAAATCTCTTATTAATTTTTAGAATATTATTCAATTAGTATTATTTTTATCCAAATAAGCTTGATGATAAAAAACAATTGTTTTATGAGAAAAGAAAGATCATAACTATTTGATATTGATATTTGTTCAAATAGTCATAACTATTTGAAGTGGTTTGAAAAAACAACTTTAGTTTTTAAATCTCTTGCTTATTAATTTTTGAAATAAAGTAGAATTATTTTATTTCATATAAGTTTTTATGAATTGAAACAATTATTTCATGACAAAACAAAAGGTCATAACACTTTAAATAAATAATTGTTCAAATAGTCAAATCTATTTTAACTTATTTAGTAAACAAATTTATTTTTTTAAAATATCTTGCTCATTAATTTTTTGAATGTTAATAAATTAGTACTATTTTACTTTGAATAAGCTTGTATGAACTGAAATAATTATTTTATGACTAAACAAAAGGTTAAAACGATTTGAAATAGATAATTATTCTAATAGTCTTAACTATTTGAACTGGTTCGATAAACACATTTAGTTTTTAAATCTCTTACCTACTAATTTTTGGAATAT